GCTAACCCTCCAACGCGTGGGTGAAGCTAACCAGCTAACCCTCCAACACGTGGGTGAAGCTTTGGATCTGAACGTGTTTTAGGACCTAGACCTCCTCACCCGCTCCCCGATGCGCTCGTCTTTGGAGAGGGCGACGATGGCCTTCACATCCTCGTCGGTCAGCTCGGCCACGGCGACGCCCTGATCTCTGCGGGTGATGTGATTGGCTAAGATCACGGTGGCGAACACGGGGAAGCCGTTGGCCATGTTCAGAGAGCCGTCGTAGTTGTTGTGGTAGATGCCCGTCAGCTCCTGAAAGAAAGATCCTCATCAGCTTCTTCCTTCTCTTAACTTTGGTTCGTCTGGTCTGAGAAAAAGGATTTGAGACGCATCGAACTCACGATCTCGTCTCCGGGCTTGCAGTGGTCCACCAGGTCGGCCAGCAGGATGGAGTCTTTGGAGCGGGGGAGGCGGCCGGCGGCGACTTTACCGGGGCTCTCCTGGATGGTGATCCTCTGGTAGTTCTGGTACACGGTCTGCAGGAGGAACACCATTGGTCAGTTCACCGAGACGTGACAAGATGAAGAAGAAAAGGCTCAAATAACAGACTCCTCCTCCTCACCTCCTCCATGTTGATCTCAAAGGGGCCCAGGGACTGACACTCGGGACAGGAGCCCGGCTTCACCTCCTGGTTCTGGGACTGGAAGAAGGGTCCCAGCACAAAGTTGCACTTGTTACAGTTGTACTTGACCATGCCGAGCTGAGGCAGGACGCCGGTGCAGCTGCTCACCACGCCGCTGGTCCGGATCAGCTGGTTCAGGTGCAGCTGCCTTCAGAGGACAGAAGAAGAAGAGATCCTGCTGCTTATTTCAGAAATCATTTGCATAACATGAATTATTTATCATTCCATCTGCTTGTATTGACTCAGACGTCTTGGTAGAAAACTACTGTTTGTGTGTTCAGTTTCATTTATGTAACCAATTTACCCAGAAGGCTTTGCAGTGCGTCTCTACATCACGGTGGCGTTATCGTAAAGACGAGTTAGACGTGGAAATAGTGTCAACAACAAAGCTGAAAACATGTTTTACTGTAATCATGTCAAAACGTAATGCATGTTATCAATAGTATTAAGCTCTGTATAGCTCCATCTTCATGACGTGAACATTCCTCCAGTTTACAGGTACTAATATACCTACAGTCCATAATACTACGTAGTAGAACGTTACCTGAGGGAGCGGATCTCCTCCACTAATGGCAGGTTGCAGATGCGGACGTGGATCTCGTGGGCGATGCGGTCGTATTTGGGGTACATGGCCAGAACCACCTCTTTAGCGGCTTCATCGAAGACCTGAGGACACAAAGCGGGTCAGACAGGTCCATCTCTGTAGAGCTCATGAACCACAGCAGCCTTTAAGGAACCCAGAGGATCTGTGGTCCAAAGACCTGGAGGATCTGTGGTCTAAAGACCTGGGGGGGGGATCTGCTAAAACCAGCAGAACTAGACTCACCTTCAACATCTCCGTGGGAGCCTCAGGCAGGAAGTAGGCCAGAACATGCTCTCTGGCTGCCAGGTCCTCGTAGTTCACCACCAGACTCTCCTTGTTCTCTGGAAGCACAGGACAGGGTGTTGGTTCACGTCCCACCAGAGATGTATCTTCAGCAAACATCTTTATTCTACTCTACCTTTGCACATATCACTGATCTTCTCCTTGAACACGTTGTGGCCGTTTTCGTCCACGTGAGTCCTCAGAAAGTTCTTGAAGCGGTTGTAGATCTCCAGCCGAGGAGCGGCCATGGAGACCCACTCCCTCACCGTGTGACCCTGCAGAGGAGACGAGGACACGGTCGGGTCGGTCCGGAGGGGAAGCTGCAGTACATCGGTGTACTAGTACACAAGTACAAGAATTACTACCTTCATATCCTCCAGGTTCTCGATGCTCTCGATCATCTCCTCTTCGTCGGCCACGCCCTCTGCCGCTCGCTCAGCCAATCGCCTCCTCCGAGCCGCCGGCCGCTCGTCGTCCTCGTCTTCGCTGTCTGGACGACAATGAAGACGGAATATGTTCAGACCTCTTTAAAAACATCTGCATCACATCTGTCTGCTTCTTTAAAGACCTCATGAGTCCACCTCTCTGATCCACGTCGACCACAACGTTGGTACAACATGAACAATATGTATATTATTACTGGTTCTGTCTTACTTATACTATTCCCATGATGCTTTGGGGCATGTAAACAAGACATATAATGTCTGAAGTAAGGAGCATCCTTTCTTCAATGGATTTATATTACAGACATGAATCATATCCCTGTGTTTAGATCGTGCTGAGTCATGACTCAGAGGTTATTGATAAGCCACTTCCTGTATGTATAGACTCCTCACCGTAGAGCAGTCCTCTCCTCAGCCTCCCGCCTTGCTCCCGGTCCCTCCTCCTCATGGCCTCCTCGGCGGCGGCCCGAGCTCCGGGCGACAGCTCCGACAGATCGTCGTCCTCCAGGTCCAGACCTTCAGCCTCGTACTGGTCCAGAGCCGGGATGGCTCGGTAATCCCTGAGAGAGAGATGAGGAGACAGAGAGAGACGGACGTGGCGACAGAGAGAGAGACAGACGGGGAGACACAATGTCACTGAAGCTCTAAAAACGCTCTGACTCAGCGTAAACGAGCCGTCCTCCTCCGTTCTCACCTCTCCATCCCGTCTCCGATCAGCTCCTCTCCGTCCCTGTCCTCCTCCTCGTCGAGGACGGGTCCGTCCCCCAGAAGACCCTCAGACTCGTCCTCAAAGGGGGGCAGGTCTCGTCCGGGACTGGAGGTCATATCGCCTCTCCTAGAAGTCATGTCTCCTCGGCTCGGGCTGGTGGCAGCGTGGAACGATTCGGAGGAATCCTGAGAGTACAAGGAGTACTTCATTATGAGGTACTAGTACAGTGTATGACTGCATAAAGTACTACAGCTCAGCGTTTGACTGCATAAAGTACTACAG